GGTCATGTGAACTCCAGATTGCTCTAGGCCTGGCAAGCTAGCCTGAGAGCCCTTCATTTCAGTCTTGGGACCAGAGGCTCCCAGCATCCTTACTCTCACCTTCAGACCTGTTGAGAATCAGCACACTGAGGTGTTGACAGGAATAGGAAAGTCATTTGGCTTGATGGCGGTGTTACATCAAGAATGCCAAGGTAGCCAGGCCTACTCCCCACTCTTCACTGAGTAAAAAAAAAAAAAAAATCTTTCCATTAAACTCCAAGGTGGCAGGACTCAACATTAGCCTCTTGGAGCTCCACAAAGGCATAAGAGTTCTGCAGAAAAACTAAATGGGGAATCCTGTCATTAAATGGAGAATTCAGGAGAAACCACAGAAACAAAATCTAGGCTAGAAATTGCTCCTAGGCCACTCATCTTGCCAGGTGCACTCTAGCTGGCACATGTATTCAGGACCCTCTGTTGGCATCTTGACGTTAAGGATCAAGTGTGACCCATAGAGCATCGGTGATTGAGACTCTAGAGGCCACCTTCATTGTTGAGAAAGTCTGGACTACCCAGAAGAAAAAGGACTCAATCCCTTTTCCTCTAGACAACCCTGCCAGAACTTTCACATTATCCATCTCTACCAATTGGCAGCTGAAGGAGCACTTTTGATGATTGTAATTGAACTCCCTGTGACTAGTCTGCTCCGACTTCTCACTGACCTGAGACCACTCACGACAATGGACTGATTCTGGAATTGTCTGCAAACTTTCCAGCCAAGGGTCCCAGGTACCCTGCCAAAAGCAGACAACCAGATGTCACACCTATATGATCTCAGCTCTCGCCCACCTGTGCTTCAGCTAAGGGCCAGGACTAAGGACTTTAACTTCAGATCAACAGCGCCCTCTATGTTTGAACTTAGATCTGTCTAACATGCTCACTAGAGGTGAGAGTCTTTGCCATCAAGTCTGGACCTTCAATGACCTTTCTTGTCTACAGATGTAGACCCTCAGAATAACCTCTCTTACATGCAAATGCACACACCAGCATACCATCAAGTCCAGAAAAAGCATAGTCATTCTCTACTACTTGCTAAAGTTGAGCCTGAATGTACCCATAATTTCTCTGGTTGATGACAGTCCTGCTTTCCATTTTTGGCAGCCATCACAGACTATGTGTGGGGAGGAGCTTTCTTGATCTTGATCCTGGATATTCTCTGACACTCCTGAGCAAGTTGATCTAGGAAAAAGAAGCCTCCAAGAGGAGTAACCTGCTTTAAGTCCATTTTATAGCTAGTGGGTCTGGTCAATGGGTCACTGGCATTGAAACCAGTCATCATGGCACCTTTTTTGTCTCACAACTACCTTCGTTTTGTCTCAGAACCACCCTTAGGAAGAGCTCTGCTCTCCCCTTTCTCTTCCATAATCAGTTGTCTCACTGACAAGAATGCTCCACTTGAGTCCTATCCTTGCAGTTATTTCCCATACAGTTGGATTGTGTTGGGGTCCTGGCTTTAATGGTGAACTCTAAGCTGATAGGTAAAGGACATTGGACTCTCGGTGTAGAATTCCTGAAGACGGCAAAAGTACAAAGGGAATAAAAAGAAGGTCAAAACACAGAAAAGATTGAAACAAGGAGCAACAGGGAAGAAAGGAGGCAGAGAAGAACAGCTGAGGGAATCAGAATTGGGAGGCAGGAGTGAGGCAAGGAGAGAAGGAAGGAACGGAAGAAGGGAGAGTTGGAGGGAGGTAGGAAGAAAGGAAAGAAGGATTAAAGGTCTGACAGACAGATGACCACTTGGCGGCATTTCTGTGGGTCCCTCAAGTCCATGAACAGATAAGATTCTCAAATATAGATTCTGAATCTAGGAAATAGAAGCCACTACAGTTGAGAGTTCACAGACTGTCAAGAAGCCAGGGACCCTGTTGTAACAATGTGCCTAAAGATAGACTCTGTTCCTTGATGCTAGGAGGATATGAGAGAATCACAAGCAGGTTGTTCACATATCTGCTCCAAGGCCACTGACTCCTGGGCAGAGAGCTCCTCAAACCCTGATAGACATGGCTCCTACCAAATATCTAAGCCTGTAATTTCTGTGTCACTTTCATGATTGCTCTGGGGTACAACAAGCCCAGGGTCTGGCAATGGTGAGGCCCTTACTCATTAGCTAAACTGGGATAATGGGAAACCCCTTTGGTTCTGTCTTTGGATCATAGTCCCCATTTATTCCTTACTCCCTCACCCCTAGACCGGGTGAGAAAAAGCACACTGATGTGTTGGCAGAAGCAAGAAAACAATTTTGCTTGATGGCAGTGTTGCACCAAGAACGTCAAGGGACCCTTTTTTCAGTGTTTCTTCCTCCAGCCTTCTCTGAAGGAAAAGAGGTCAACAACTTCCCACGAGACTCCAAAATGACAGTTAAGTCTTGACATATTCTGATCAGAAATGGGCCTTAAAGTCTTATTATATGAATCCTGGGCATGGGGGGGCGGGGTTGGGTCACAGACCTCACAGGGTGCTTATCCCCAATGTATGAAGATCATTAAGCATAAGAGGTATGGTCTAACCTCAAGTTCTAAGGGCCAGACAGGAAAACTAAACTTGGAACTGCAAAACTGGAAGCAAGCATCAGGAAAAGCCACAGAATCAAACCTTGGGCAGAAACTAGGCCCAGCGATGAGTACAGGCCCTGTCATAGCTTGCCAGGAATAGTGTAAACGGCAAATGTGTGCAGGACCCTCTGATACTGAGGTTTAAGTGTAACCCATACAGTGTACAAGTTTTCTAAGGATGTGCAGACATTGTATATCCATGACACAACAAGGCTTCAATTTCAAGGTTACCTACCCCATATCAGACATAGGAGCAAATGGACAGTTGGCACAAGGAAGATCACCTCCCAGTCACACAGGGCCTAGACTCAGTATTGCATTTGTACGTAGCAGAAGGGAGTTCTCCTTATACAGATGACAAAATAGTACAGTTTCCACTTTGAGAGTCCCAGTTCCTCAGCCACAGATAGAAATCAGGATAGCGAGGAAATCTGCCACCCTTTGATCTTTTTGTCCAGAGACTCAACCTGTGCATTCCAGGACCCTGTCTGTGCAATCAAGTGTTTATGCTGGCCATTTTCCAAGCTCATGTGAGCTTTTGTGTTGAGGCACCTTAGCCTCTGATGGAAGATAAGGTTCTCAGGGACCCTGACCTAGACACTTGAAAATATCAAATACAAAATATTAGTCCATCCAGCTGCTACCAGCCTGTCAGATTCTTGGCTGTGGTTCCAATCATCTCTTTGGGATTGCCCAACCACTGTATGATCTCGCTGTTGGTACACAACTGTTCCCCTTTTCCACATAGCTGCTGGATGTCAGGGCAGTGGTTTGTTTCCTTTCTCCAAAGGTCACAGAGTCTGTTTGGTATCTGGGCCTTTCTATCACCTGCATCCACATCCAGCCAGGTAAAGATGTCTGTAACCCACCATAGATGCAAAGATGCCTGTCTAATGGCATTTACACAGTCTGAAAGGAACTTACAGAACCATGTAATAGAGAATCCAGGCTTCTTGGCTTCTTTCAGCCTGTCAACACCACACCAGTACACCACCACACATTCCTCAGGGTATACCCCCTTTGTGCTGCAATTGGGTCATATTCAAATGGAGCCTACAATTTACCATCTTTTCTCTCAGGGAGCTGGACACATCGCCAAGGACAAAGTGAGTGTAGGTATCAGAAGAAGGAATTTGTTTTTAACTCGACCGTCACCACAAGTGGGCACACACACACACACACACACACACACACACACACACTCATATCAACATTAATGCCATGTCACAGGTGTCCAGGGAAGATAGACATCACTGGATTCTTGGGGAATTACCGCTTTTCCTTGGAAAATAGATTTCACTATCAAACAGGGTGCCTTCACGGCCTGAATGACTGATCCTGTAGAGGCCCCCATCCTCTTTGTTGAGACTCTTTGTGATGCCCGTGGGGTGGTGGGTATGGCTGGTCTCTGTTCTCCAGAAAATCCTGTCAGTGCTTCCACACTCTCCATCTCCTTAAACACCCAGACTAGGGAACCCTTCCCAGGATGGAAATGGTCTTATTCCCCTGTGACTGGCCTAATCCAAATTCTGACTGGCCCCAGGCTACCCATGTCTATGGATCAATCAGTACTGGCACCTTCCGCATACATATTTTCCTGTCAAAGGTCTTGAGAACCATATTGTAAGAACAGACCCCCACTTCCTGACAAGACTGCACGCCACTACTCTGTGATCCCAGCACTTTCTGCAGATATATCCACTTGTGTACTTCTGCTGAGGGCTTACAAAATTCATGCCAATAACCCTTCCAAGTTTGAAATGAATGGATGTGTTACACACCTTCTAGAGGCAGGACGCTCTACAATGGTTTCTGTACCATCTATGGCCTTGCTTCTAACTTAGAGGAAACAAAGAATTACATGTGTGCCCGCAAACACACACACACACACACACACACACACACACACACACACACACAGGCAGAGAGAGAATATATAGAATATACCAGCTAACTGCCAAGTTGAGTTGAACCATAGATTCATCTATTGCCACCTGCCTATGTTGGGCCATGATCTACATATTATTCCACAGACTGATCACAGACCAGCTTCCTAACTTTCTGTTGTAGTCAGGTGGATGTCCATGTCCTTTGTATTTTGTCCTGAAGTGCAGGATGATGTGGGATTCCCTCCACATGCTGTGAATATGTTTCATTACCTCCATTTGCAGCAGGATGCTGGCTTGAATTTCTAGAGGACCATACCAATCTTATGTGGTTCCATGCTGCCTGGAGAGTCACCCACAAAACTCCTAAACCAAGTTCTATCAACTAGAATCTCACTTCCCAGCCTTTTCTACTAGCCGTGGTTGAAACTACACAAGATAGTATACTACTGTTCCATTCAAGATCCAACTGCTTTGTTATCCTCTCTACCAGCATGCACATAGAATCACACAGAGTACTTACCTGGAACCCCAGGATGTAGTGATGATCAGAGACTGTAGTAGAAGCCTTTATCACACTGTTCACCCTGGAAGGAAACAGCAGAATAGCTTTCAGTTCATGTGGGCCTGCCAAAAAGATGGTCAAAATGTGACACTATATTACTCACGTGGCCAGACTATAGAGGAAATTCAGGTTATAACATCAGGTTTCAGGTACAGTATAGCTTTTGAAGAAAGTATGCCATGAAATATAATTCTACTCATCCTTTGGAAACCTCACAGGTATTAAGTCCAGGTTAAATAATTTAATCTTTAAGGGTTATTTTCTTTCTTTCCCTATCTTATTTATTCTTCACCGACCCTCCACCTGATCCCTCCTGTTTCCATCCCCACCCGACTTAGTCTATCCTCAAAAATATTACTCAGGTTTTAAAAAAATATCATGAAAATTGCAGGCAAAAGAATGGAACTAGAAAATAAATCATCCTGAGGGAGGTAACCCTAACCCCAAAAGACAAACATGGTATGTACACACTTATAAGCAGACACTAGTTGTTAAGTAAAGGTTAGCCCATGATCCAAGATAGGTTAAATATCAAGGAAGCCTCAAGGGGTGAAGCATGGATCTCCCTGGGAAAAGGAAATAGAAGAGACACTTTTAAAAGAACATTAAAAAGCAGCTTTCATGAAAGAGTCCATTGAAGACACAATTAGCATAAAATATCTTGAGGTAACTCTAACCAAACAAGTAGAAGACCTGTATGACAAGAACTATAAATCTTTGAAGAAAGAAATTGAAGAAAACACCAGAAAGTGGAAAGATCTCGCATACTCTTGGGTAGGTAGAATTGACATAGTAAAAATGACAATCTTACCAAAAGCAATCTACAGATTCAATGAAAGGCCCATCAAAATCCCTGTAAAACTTCACAGACCTCAAAAGAAAAATACTCAATTTCATTTAGAAAAGCAAAAAAAAAAAAAAAAAAAAAAAACTCCGGATAGTCGAAACAATCATGTACAACATAAGAACTTCTGGAGGCATCACAATCCCTGACTTCAAACTTTATTACAGAGCTACAGTACTGAAAACAGCCTGGTATTGGCATAAAAACAGCCAGGAGGACCAATGGAAACAAATCGAAGACCTGAATATTAATCCACACACCTACAAACACCTGATTTTTAACAAAAAAAAATCACATGGAAAAAGAAAGCTTATTAATCAAATGGTGCTGGCATAACTGGATAACAACATATAGAAAAATGCAAATAGACCCAAATCTATTACCAGGCACAAAACTCAAGTCCAAATGGATCAAAGACCTCAACATAAAGCCAGCCACACTGAACCTCATAGAAGAGAAAGGGGGAAGTATACTTGAACACATTGGTACTGGAGACCACTTCCTAAATATAACCCCAGCAGCACAGACACTGGGAGAAACAATAAATAATTAGGACCTCCTGGAACTGAAAAGCTTCTATAAAGCAAAGGACATGGTCAACAAGACAAAATAGCAGTCTACAGAATGGGAAAAGTTCTTCACTAACCACACATCAGACAGATATATATATATACTCAAGAAATTGGTCATCAAAAGAACAAATAGTCCAATAAAAAATGGAGTACAGACCTAAACAGAGACCTTTCAACAGAGGACTCTAACATGGTTTAAGGAAATGCTCAACATCCTTAGCCATCAGAGAAATACAAATCAAAATAATTCCATCTTATACCTGTAAGAATGGCCAAGATCAAAATCATTGATGACAACTTATGCTACAGAGGTTGTAGGGTAAAGGGAACACTCCTGCATGGCTGGTGGGAGTGCAAACTAGCACAGCCCCTTTGCATATCAGTGTGGTGATTTCTCAGAAAATTCGGAAACAACCTTCCTCAAGAGTCAGAAATACCACTTTGGGGTATATATCCAAAGGATGCTCAATCATGCCACAAGGACATGTGCTTAACTATTTTCATAGCACCATTGACTGTCAAAGCCAGAACCTGGAAACAACCTAAATGCCCCTTGAGTGAAGAATGGATAAGGAAAATGTGGTACATTTACACAATGGAGTACTACACAGCAGAAAAAAATAATGACATCTTGAAATTTGCAGGCAAATGGATGGAGCTAGAAAACATCATACTGAGTGAGGTAATCCAGACCCAGAAAGACAATTATCAGATGTACTCAGTCATAAGTGGGTTTTAGACATAAAGCAAAGAAAACCAGCCTGCAAAACACAATCCCAGAGAACCTAGACAACAATGAGGATCCTAAGAGAATCATATAACATGGATATAATCTACATGGGAAATAGAAAAAGACAAGATCTCCTGAGTAAATTGGGAGCGTGGGGACCATGGGAGAGGGTTGAATGGGAAAGGAGAGGCAGGGAGGGGAGCAGAGAAAAAAATGTATAGCTCAATTAAATCAATAAAAAAAGAAAAAAAAAGAGAGTCCATTGAAAGCTGAAGGACGCTTTCTTCTAGGATTACTTTCTGGAGAATGAACCTTTCATCTTGCCACTTACAGAACTCCTTTTCTTAGACTGACTAGGTGGATCAATGAGTAAAAGTGTTTGCTATACAATCCTGAATACTTAAATTCAAACCCCAAAACCCATGTAATGGTAGACTTTTGCCAACGTTAAAAATGTAGCTTTCACCTTAAAGAAAATAAGAGATAGTTTACTCTGGAGCCAGTATAAATGATCATGGTTTGGTAACACAGTTTTAGGCCACACCAAATTCCATGTAGGTAAATCTAGATACAGCAACCATCAGACAATGTTCTGTGTCCCCTTTACTGCAATCACCAGCCACACTGCAACCTGGTCTTACCTAGGAACTTAGATTCCCCAAGACTGCCACAGTAATGTCTACCCAGGGTCTCCATAGGTCTACCAAACCTCACAAGACTGGAAGAGTCCTTTCTGTATCTTTCTTGAACCAGAATCCCTCCCAAGCAGGCCAGTCTTCCCTAGAAAAGTACAGGGAAGTGTTGGCAGAATCTACAAAGCAATTCTCCTTGATGGTTGTATTGTAACAAGAATACCATGGTAGCCACGCTTTAGGGCCACCTGATGAAGGGGAAAAGCCAATCAGTTGCTACCAGACTCCAAGATGGCATCTCACTATCTAGGTCACTTCTGGTATGACAGACTGAGTCAGTGAATGTGGCCTGTGGTGTCTTCAATTTCGCTGGACTGAGATAGCTCACTACTGGGACATGGTACCCTCTCGATGCACAAAGACCATACAGGAATCCTGAAGGAACTTCATTCTATTTTGGAGAGAGATCTAAAACCTCTGCAACAAAACCATCAACAATGGCTCCCTGGGATAAGCCAAGGCCCTTTCACTGCCCAGAAGAAGCATTCTGACTTGGACAAATACACAGAAACTTTAGAAAACAAGTTCTAGGAAAAATCACTGGTCAATGTCAGACTTGGAGGGTGGCTGAATGATAGCTGCAGAGAACACACTTCCACTTCTAGAACCATCTAGGCTTATTCATCTTCATCATCTGGTTCTTGTCTCCCCCCCCCCCCCGTGGTCATTCTTAATCTTTGAGTAGAAGTCTCCTGAGTTTTCCTTACTGTATCAAGGGGATGAGAAATGCATTTACCTCTTACACTGCACTTCCTTTTTAAGCTATGATCTTATGCTTACATTGTCTCACTTTGTTCTGGGGTGGGTGTCTGAACAAGTTACAAGTTGTCTTTATTTTTAAGAATAAAAAAAAAATTAAAATAAAGTGAGGAAGAACTCCCAAGTGTAGAAAGGACTCCAAAGGAAGAATTCACTGACATTCATTTTTAAAAAGTTTTTGTATTATATTTAATTGTGCATATATGTGTGTGGGTACATGCATATAGGTGTAAGGTGCCTCTGGAAGGCAAAGGAATCAGGCCCCATTGTAGATGGAGTTACAGTTGGTTGTGAGCCACCCAATGCAGGTGCTGGAAAATGAACTCAGGTTCTCTGTAAGAACACTATGTGCTCTGAGCCAGCTCTCCAGCTCTATGATGTTCACTTTAATGATGTATTCAATATGTTTAGATGAAGAAATTCTACATTTTTGGCTGTTTTGATGATTAAGGCTTGACATTATATAACTCTTACTGGTCTTCTTAAAGTTGTAAGTGTTATAAAGTATAGTCAAGTTTGTTTGTGTGTGAGTGTGTAGCAACATGTGTGTGACTATGTGTGTGTAAGCATGTACGAGAACATGTGTGAGTAACTGTGCCTGTGTTTTTGTGTTTACGTATGTGTGGATGCAGGGTCTCTTCATTGGCCTAAAGATCTTTGATTAGTTTAGACTGCCTAGTCAGGAAGCGAAAGGATTTATCTGCCTGTCTTTGTTTCCCTAGCTCTGGAATTGTAAGTGCATGTACCATGCATGCCTGGCTTTTTCAAATGTGAGTTCTAGGTACTGTACTCACCCAGTTCACCAACTGACCTGTGGTTCCATACCTGCTTTATTGGTTTATAATTTAAATTTCCTCTCTCTGTATCATGTCTTGTGGGTTGTTTTTCCCTCAAGGACTGAATTATCGAGTCATTTCTCGAATCTGTGATGTGGTCAATATAAAATTGAATGAAATATCATTGCCCAGATCTGGCTAGATCTGGTTCTTCCCAGGGCCTGAATAACTTCTAACCAGAACATTTTGGTTTTCATCACAAAGAGTTCTGAGCCTTTAGAAATAATGTGCAAACAAAGAAATGTGACTATGACCACTCATGGGGTAAAGGGTCCCCAATATGCAGAGTGGGAAAAAGAAACACCAGCTCCACCACCTGACAATTTTTGGTTAGAGTTCTGGCTATAATTGGCAAAGAAACAAGTTCCAAAATATTTTTTTTTCTTTGGGGCTTTCAAAGTGTTAAGAAATTGAATGTACATCACATGAACAACCTTCTTTCCCTATGGTCTGTATTTGGTCATCTCTTGCTGTCTTCGGATATGCTGTATCTCATTTCTATGGTGTGTTTGGCAAATACTGTGTAATCGAGTTCTCCACTCTTTTCTGCCCTCCTCCTTTTTTTGATGTGGAGTCTCATATATCCCAC